ATCATTATTCAAAGAGAAATGCTAGCTGCACTCGCCTTTCTTCAGCACTGTCCAACACTCTCTCATATAAAATGTCCACATAACAAACTTTGGCTCGCAAATCAAAGTTTCCAACTAGAAAAGTTCACGTGGCTATTTTAGATGAAGGAGTGTTGGAGAGTGCTGGAGAAAGGCGAGTGCAGCTAGCATTCCTCTTATTCAAAATATATATATACATGGAAGACAAGTTACTTCTTCTATTCATTTGCGCACATGCATTGTGAAGCGCGTTTCCCATACTCCTCATTTAATTAATTACTTTTTGTTCATAATCTGTATATTATCATGCATTGTCAGATTTATTAATCTTTCTCTCAGTATATTATCAGGACGCTCTAACCAACTGAGTTAATAGGTGATGGAAGACCTACTCGTTTTATGTCTGAAAAACAGTGTGAATGTTGTGTCTATTGTATCTTCTTTTATCTAAAAGAATGGCTAAAATAAAGAAGAGTAGTACGGCCTATGAAATAAGGATTTAGATTGAAAATTAATTAATTGGAAGAAGTGCATGTTTGCACGCAATCTGACATTAGCATTCACAATTTTCATCTCCCCATGGCCATATTAATGACCCATAACAAATTATACGGCGCGTAGGTGGTGTATTTGGTTCCCAAGCTACTGCGCCACCCCGCCTCTTTACTGTGGAAAACGTAAGCAAACAACCACATTATATAAATGCGTGCGCGCATGCCTTTGCATCACCTTCTCTCCCTATCTCTGCCAACATTCTCATTAAATCTCAACCGTTCATTAAACATTCTTGTTCTCTATGTCTAAGCCTTTTGACTTTTCTTCATATCTATAGGGGTGGATTTTAGCTACATGTCTTCCCAAAATGAACGTGTAGGGTTCAATCATTCAAAGTTGAACTTGGCTAAAACAATTTGGGGCATTTGGTTTGAAACTAACTTTTTTTTCTTTTTTTGAGTAAGGGGAGATTTGAGGGGAAGAACAGTTCTTAAAGAGACTTAAATTTTAATATGAGTTAAAATTTTTACTAAATATTATCAATCTATTTGGAGCTGCTAGTGTAGTTTGAAACTTTCTCTAAAAGCTTTTATTGAAAAATTGATTTCTAAAATACTAATACTAGAAATAAGTAAAAAATAAAAAATATTATATACTATACCAAAAGTTATAATTTTTGTAAGATATACCATATTTGGTTTAGCTTTAATTTTTATACAGAAGAGGCTTTGATTGAGTAGACTTGTTCAAAAATATTAGATCAAGAATTCATATTTATAATTAATGTAAATCATAAAAAAATTAAACTTGACAAAGATTATGAAATTAATAAGAACAGTGAAAAGATAGAGTTTAAAAGTAAAGATTTGAAAATTCAACTTCTATCCCTTTTAAAACTGGTACTACAGAGCCAGCTCGATTAATGGTACTGAATACTGATCAACTGAAACTTGTCTAGTTGTGAATTACAAAAAAAAAAAAAAAAAGAGAAAAGAAAATTACTAACACAGGAAAAGGGATTAACTTAGATTGACCTCTGCAGAAGAAAATTGCAAATTGAAAGGGCATAAACATCGAGAGAGAGACAAAGGGCAACAAAGGCTAAGGCAGGCCTGGAGACAGCTGGTGGAATGAAAGGTCTACAACACAGGTAGACAACACAAAAATATAGACCTAGAAACAAACTTAACTGTATTATTACCTACTATATCTGGAGAGCAAAATGAAAACAAAATTAAAAGTGATTTACAGTGTAGATAATAAAATATTAATCATTTAATGATTAGAGACTTTTAATCATTTTAGGTAAAGATCCTGTTATCATATTATTTGTGTTTTACAATTTAGTACATAGTTTAAACTATAAAGCACTAGGGTTGATATGAAAATTATGGTCCTATATGGTATTTTTTTGATCTTAAGGGCATGTTTGGTTGGGGGTAAAAACTATAAATTTATTTTTTACAAGATTATTTATGTATTTCTACACCTTAAAATTACAAAAAAAAAAAAGATAAAATAATATTTTAAAGAGGTTTTCTAACTTGTATTTTTTCGTTATAAAATTGTATAAAAAATGTTAAAATTAACATTAATTTAATGTAATTTAATTAAATAGTTAATAAATTAAAGGTGAATTTTTATTTTTCAACATAAATTAACCAAAAAAAATATATTTATTATAATGTTAATGTATACCCTTAAAACACATGTTAATTTTTTTTTAATACAATTATCAATTAATAAATTTTCTATTCATACTTTTTAAAATGAAAAGAAAGAGCTCCATAATAACTTTTTTCGATTCAAGAATAACTTGACAACTTAATTTCTATCAATTTTGTTTTATGTTAATTTATAATTAAATATAAAAAAA